GTAGAGACTGTAAAGGAGGAGATGAAAAGCAAAGCAGATGGGACACTGAAAAGAGTTACAGCGGAAGGATCCAAGAGCGGATGGACTGAGGAGAAGGTGGACGGAGGAGAGGAAAGGACGGAGGAGTTGGCATGGTCCGGCAGAACGTGAGGGGGTCGTGGCTTGACAACCAGAGGGGGAGAGAAGGAAAACGGGAGTGAGTGAGTTTACACATAAACACACTTATTCACCAACGAGAAATACGTAAAGAAATATTTATTAGCCATGAATTAATCAATTGGTGAATTTATAAAGAAAGAAAGAGGAAACTATTAAATAACCCTAAAAACACACTGAGGATAGAACATATTATTCAATCTTTTCATCATGTGAACAAATTATTCTTTAAGAGTTTTTTATTCATGTGTGAATTTGGGGAAGATTTAATTTGTTACAGTATAGACCTACAGTTTAAAGGGATGGTTTTAGTAACCACTCTATAAAAGCAGACAAATCTTTATTTGTATGGAAAATGTTAAAGGTAGAGCTAGTACCAAGCCAAAGATAGTATTCAAATCTAAAGTATTGATTTCTCCATTGTAGCATGGTTATTACCTCAGGAGGGAAGATTAAGGTGGAAATAACATTTGTTTTTCGTCCAAGATGTAGAGTTTTAAAAAGACACTGGGCAAAGAGCGATTGCAAAGTTTAATTTTTTAAAACTAATGTAGTTGGGAGCAATACATGCAGGGCCTTGGATCACTCATTGTGATGGTGCATATTTGTTACAACAAACATCGTTCAGGGAGAAGGGGTCGCCCAACCCACCCTGCAGATGTTTTAAATCTTACTTGCAGCTTCAGAGGGAGCGCAGGGCACCAGAGTATGAGTTTTAAAAGACAAGCGCCACCAGCTCCTAAAGGTCATCCATTCAATCAGTGATGACCTGACATTTAGAGATGTTATTTAAAGGAGAAACATATCTGCCATAAGTGTAAATTCCTGAATTGAACTGCAAACCATTAATGAAATGACTTCTGTTTTAAAGTCCTTGTTAAAGGATGGAGTAATTATCACATGCTCGGGCACCCAAGGTTCCACACACTGTAAAAGGGGTTAGCATAGTTATTTAAGTAGACCATAATTGAAAATAAATTAGTATAATGAGTTATTGATATTCCACCGGTTCTCACACCATTTCAGGGACTTTATCACAGCATTAGAACAGACCACCCAAAGGTACTGAGTAGGAACTTTTAAGTGATGAAATTCTACAACTGTTGTAACTGACCAAAATCTTCTCCCAGAAATGACTGTCTAGAATGCCGTACCCCAAAGTAGAACGTACCGATTGATCACGACGGCCCCTTCTAGAGAACATATTACTTTCATACCTTAAATGGTATGAAAGGAGGGAGGGTACATTTCTCATGAGGAATGAGGAGACAGTTACAAATGCTAGCAGAACAAGACGACCCACCCCGTATACAGATGTTGATGACAATGATGAGTTAGTTTAAATGATATGGATGTTCGGAGATGAGATTGATCAATGAATGTCCAGCTGATGTGATTCTTTAAATTATGAAATCATGTGAAGAAGTGAGCAAAATAAAATGCTAAAATGGAGTGAATCCATTTCAATTTACTTTACACTATTCCAAGATAGTTTATTTTTATTTTTCAATTTACTTTGCCAATCCAAGATATTTTATTTTATTCTTTATTACTTTATACTATTCTAATATGGTGGATCTCATGTTGTAAAAATCATTGCTATTCTAAAATGGTTTGTTTCTTTTCACTTTGTAAAAACAAGTGCCTTAACACTGAGCGTGGTATTAGAACAGTTTCTGTGAAAGGAGGGAGGAAGAAATGTTCTAGTACCAAGCCATTGCTGCTATTTTGAAGAATGATATTGAATGTAAACACTAGAAGTTATGCACAAGGGAAAACTTTTATGTTTGAACAAAGAATTTATTTAGTATTTTTTTAAAGTTAAGGCTATAAAACCATTCCATTTGATTGTATATTTGTTAATATAAGATATGTAATATGCAAAGTTCAGATGAAGAACTCATTGATTTCAGTACACCCTTTCAGGTGTGTAAGGAGGGACTGTTAGAAATTAAAATCAATGTTTTAATGGGGAAATGTAGTTTAAACATGCCGTCAGTTTTAATGCAGTTTTACACTGAAAAACCAGAAATTCTTGTGCACAACCAGCTGTTAAGCTTTATTCTGAAACTCTTTCATCTCCGGTTGGCAGTTAGCATGTGGTCAATTTACAATTTCCTAAAGAGGTGAATTTAGGAGCGAAATGATATGGAGTGGTGCAAACCGAAGCCTACTGATTTAACACTACAACTATAGATGTCGAGATACTACCATGCTGAATATTAAATGAAGGTACAGTTTATTTGAATACATTATTGTTTACAGACGAGAGTAGCATGTGACAACATCCGGAATGACCGGAAACCAAACGAGCCGAGAAGTATTTTTTAGAGTATTGATTACAGCGTTTAGAATATGTTACATGAAAAGTGATGAAAGAGAATATGAGGAGAAAAGGCGTGTTAAGCATATATTGAATGTGAAAAGAACCAATCCTCTGTTTAAATGCAACAACGGACATTGGAGACGAGGCGAGCCGGCTGGCGGGGAGGAGCCAGCAGAGGATATATAACAGCACCGGAGGAGAGATCGGCCTCTTCTCTTCCCTAACGAGGAGCGGATCACAGCTGTTTGTCTGACTGAACAATATCATGCTTGTGACCAACCCGCGCCTTTTATAAATTAAAGTACCCAATTGAACTTTCACAGAGACTCCATTTAGTCTCCTTTTAAAGCTTCTCTCCTGGACGGGAGAATAACGAACACAGTTTACAGTAGTCACCTTGCTAACTGAATCATGTTGCTAACTGAATGTTAACTCACCATGTGCTCATTAAATGCTAATATTAGCCAAAGATGTCCACCCTGTCATGACAGGGTGGACATTTGGTACAAATAATTTGCCACCATTTCATTATTATCCAAATATTCTTTCCATTAACTGGAATATATTGTTGAGAAAGGGATTACAATGTATTTACTCTACTTTGAGTAGCAAGTGAAATGTCAGTCCACACTCTTTGGGAGGGAACCCTCAGAGACAGAGATGTGTTTAAGTGTAATGTAAACTCTGCTTTATTGTATTTGACAGCAAAACATTGCGTTATTTTACGCAACTATTTAGAGAGCTAATATATTCCTCTTTCTATTTCCCCCCATTCTTCCTCAATTTCTCACACTGTCACTCCAGTTATTTCCCAGCTTCCCCCTCTTCTCCTTCTCTCCCCCCTGCCTCCATCACTCTTCCGAGTACAGCCCTATAACCAACAGTGATTTGATTACAGCGTAGCTACGGCCTTCCTTTGCTATCAGCCTTCATAAATGTTTAAGGAGCATTAAGGAGACGCAAACAGAGCAGACGGACGGGGGTATCTTAATGCTTAAATGGCCATTACCCCTCGCCATTTACAGATTAAAAGCTTTACTTTGTTTCCTCCGCCTACTCCTCATCCTCCTCTCGCTCACCATCATCCCTCTCTCTGCGTTCGTCCATTAGGGCTCTGGAGAATCACTTCTGTTCAGCGAGATGACGGCAATGAAGAAGGCGTTAGACAGATGAGGAGTATAAGAGGGACACAAAGAAAAGGAGAACAATGGCTCCAAATGTCTGATGGGGTCATTTTACTGAAGGTCTGTCCTGACTTATTCACGGGTGATACCATCAGTATTGGGCTGTAGATTTGTAGAGGATCCCCTTTAAGACACTGGGACTGGCCTACCGTGCTGTGATTGAAGGATAGAAGGAGGTCTGCACATCTTCCATTGCACACTTGAAACCTACCTGTTTCCACTGCACAATGAGTATTCAAATAAAAAAAACAAATAATTCAAGGCTTTTACATAGCTACAGTGTAGTTCATGACATTCTCAAACAGTGCAGACCAATAAGAAGTATGTTGCACTCTAAAAGGTTTGCATATTTGAAGGTTAACCCTAACCCTTACGGATGACAACGCTCAGGACGCAAATGCACCTCACCAGGTAAAAATGAACAGACAGATACAAATTGACCAAGGCTTTTAATCAGAAGATCGATTAAAAATACAAGAACAAACACAAAACCCTCACTTGGAGGATCAGAAACGGATACCTTCAGGATAAAAAAAATGATAAACAAAAAAAAATGAACATCAAGGAGTCAATAGTGGAGTGCTTAGTCACGAGGGATGGCTGCAGACATGGCATCAAGAGACATGACGAACTGGCACAGAACAAGGGAGACACAGACTATACACAAGGGGAGGGGGCACAGGTGAAGAAAGTCAGGGTGGGGTAGACATTCGCAGTGGTGGGAAATACACAAAGTTAAGTGATCTGAAACAAGAGGGAAAGGCTACTACAAAATAAAACAGGGAGTTCCAGACAAGGCATAGGACAAAGACTTGAACAAGAGGAATGACCTTAACATAAATGTCTGGACACCATCATACTTGGATTCTTGCTGGGCTGAGATTGTATACTCTTGGATGATTGCTTTTATTATAAGTTGGGTATGCTGAATAAAATATAATGTAATGTAAGCAATTGTATTGGTAAGTGTAGTTTTAAAGTCCTAGTTTAAAGGTAGGGTAGGTAAGAATGAACCAGCTAGAGTGCGCTAGAATTTGAAAGTACACAGCCGGAAAAAATCTGCCCCTCCCTTCAGACTTTCTTACAGAGCCCCTCCTCCAACACACAAGGACGCGCACATGACCAATGAGGGCACGAGATAAGTTTGTGCACAGATGGAAGGCTGACAGCCGAGGCAGATAATTGGACTTGCTTTTTACAGCGCCACGGCTTCCACAGATGAAATATTTGTATATATTTATTGTCAAAGCATTTAATGTATTCATTGCTATCGGGATGTTAAGAGCATTCCATGGAATATAAAAAAAAGTGTTTCTGAAGTGAATTACCTACCCTACCTTTAATTGATTCAGTTGGGCTTATTCTGATCTAAATACTGTTTCAAATGTTAACACAGTACTTGCTGCTTTTTGTATGGAAAATGGACTGCATTTATGAGCACTTTTCCAGTCTCTACAACCCCTCAAAACAGTTTTATATAAGTCATCATCACTCATTCACACACATTCACACAGAGGCAGAGGCTGCCATACAAGGTGCAGCTGCTCAGGGAGACTAACATTCACATGCACACACACACACACACACACCCCCACACACACACACACACACACACACACACACACACACACACACACACACACACACACACACACACACACACACACACACACACACACACACCACACCACGACGACGACACACGACAC